TTTAGCCCTTTATATTGACTGCTTAACAGGGCTGTATGGGTTTGCCTATGGCTCCCTTTAGACAGCACACTCTAAAAAAAATGTGTTTTCAAGTTCCCCGAATTCAGAACGCTACATGGTAGATACATAGGCATATACATCACTGAACACACAGAACACACAGAACACAATTAGAACATTCCGCCACACAACAGCAAGAACGCAGAGACACCTCTTTTTTTTATTGCGTAGCTGCTTTTGGTTCAGGTGACAAAAACATCACACATACAATAAAAAGTTAAAACAAAAGCCTCAAAGGCTATTGTACAAATATCAAGCTCATCAAACACCTTGACAGACCAGTGATGGTCGCCAGCTCCTCAAGAAGCGGCAAGAAGTCCGGGAGTGGCTGCTGAATCTTAAACATTTCTTTAAAAAAACACATCATTTCAACAAAACACCTGTGTGCAGGACGCACGTCCACGTCCGCGCGTCTTACAGCCATGCGGCAGCGCCACAAGCTATGGAGACCAACCACCATGATCATATCATAGGGTACAATGTTGCCTCCTTCATCAACAGGCAAAAAACGGATTTCGTGAGGTGTTAACGGTAGGTCTTTTTAAGGGTCCTTTGAAGGACGTCCCGAAGAAACACTGCGTCCCAGCACTTAAGACAAACATGTTCTATCGTCTCTGGCATTTTACAAAGTAAACAGTTTACCGACCATGGAACGGGAATACCTTTTGCCTCTAAAACAACTTTGGCCGGAAGGGTTTCACTGTGTAATTTGAAGAAAAAAGATATCGTGAAGGCGAATACCCTCATTTTCTGGACACGCTTCCAAACATCTTGACACGCAGCGACACCTCCCTACGTACACTATGTTCGCACTATCTCTATATATGGCAGGCTTATTTTTGAATCCGACTTGGCAGGTGACTGCCTTCATTTGTCGCATAAACAGGGAGAGGCGAAGAAACTATTACTCGTACTTAATGCATTATTTAATTTGTCTCTGGGAGTAGCCCCATCTTTAAATTCAGCACCCTAAAAAAGCAAATGTAGATCATTAGGCTAATTAACTCAAATGTAATAATTATATTTCTAATAAGTTTGATGAACCATGTTGACAATGCAGTAAAGAAATGCAGTACATTGGTGCTGAAGATTGCAATCAAGATATTGCTTGATTGCAGTGTTTGGTGCCAGTGTAGTCTATTTTACCATGGGGGGTGATAATTAATTTTAATTGTTGCACACGCATTTCAATTAATTTTTCAAACAAACAATATTACTGGTTTTCACGACTCGTTGCAACAGCAGAGAACATATCTTGGATCATGCTTTGCCAGCGCTATTACAGAAATTTAGTATTGCTTCAATTTTCTAACCTGGAGCGTTTTTGCTCGAAAAAATAAGTGCCGGTAGTGATTTTCTATAGGCGTGTAAAGAAAATTTAATGGCTCCTGGTCTTTAGGCATGGGGCCATAAAGTGTATTATAGATGGCTGAAGACAATTTATTAATTCACGGTCTTTAGACTTGGGGCCATAGAATTTTCTATAGGCGGATAAAGACATTTGATTGGTTTCCATTCTTTAGATTTGCGGCCGGAGAATTTTCTATAGGCGGGTAAAGAAAATGTATTGGTTCCCAGTTTTCAGACACAGGGCCTTAGCTTTTCGTATAGCTGGCTGTAGCTGTATTTATGAATTACTATAGCCGACCATAGAGGGCCATCGCGGGTGATAGCCCGCCATATAGTTTTCCATAGACGACCATAGACCATTTTTGCATGGGCAAGCGGCAAAGACGTTGCTTTCAGAGATGGGGAGCTCGCGACCCCAGAAACGTGCACCCGCGCCATACATTCGCGGCCCGGCGGCTAAAGCCCGGTTCAAACAGACCCCGACTGCGAACCCGGGCGCCGGAACCCGCAGAGACGTCAGCGCTCCCTCCGCACGGGCGGTGACGTAATTACGGCTTCCGGCACCCGGACTGAAGAGTTCAAAAATTTTCAACTTTCTCCTTCCCGGGTCGTGACGTAGGTTTCCGTATTTTCTCCGCGGCCAATCAGCGCGGCGCGCTTCCCTTCTCCGCCCCCCTTGCCACCGGCGTTCATGTCGTTCCGTCGTTCCGCCAGTTCCGCGTGCTAATGCCTCCGACGCAGACGCTCTGTGCTTGCTTGCGACAAAGGCTGCGACGATGACCTTCCCGCCCGTCTCCGACGCGGGGAAAGCTACTCAAGCTGCAAAGAAGACTGCCGCTGCTGCGAAGAGGGCTGAAGTTGCCGCTGCGTTTGACGTACCCGAGAAAGCCTATGGATTAGTTCAGCTAGTTTAGCCGTACCCCTGGATCTGTGACAGGTATCGTAGCGACCACAAGGACCGGGACAAGTGAAAGAACTCGATACTGCTTTTAATAATTTATTGACACGGTTTCGGAGACACGGGAGGTGGTTGCAACCCGATGAAACGGCATCTTCAATGCAAATATGAGTGGCCTTTTGAAAGGCCGTTTGTAGAGGCAGGCAGTGGTTGGCTTGCTGGCTGCAAAGAGACCGGAAAGGCACTGGGATGTTATTAATAAGCAAATGTGCTAAGCTTCCAGCTTTGAGGGCATGCTTCTTCACTACAATTGTAATGAAGCAACTCACTTGTTCATTTTCTTTTTTTATACACAATGTTTTACCAGCCTCGGGCACTCTGCGACCGACAAAATTCCCTCCCCCCCGAAACAAAATCCTGGCTACGTGCCTAGCTGCAACCATTGCGCGTGCGAGCTACATCCGGCAGGTAAAAAAGGTGAACGACACTGGTACGCGCTGTAGACCAGTTTTTAGGCAGAACTGTACGACCGCTACCCTAGGTTCTTTAACACCCGTCACGCAGCAGTGAAACACGAACGTCTGGTGGTACGATGCTCATCCAGGTCGAAACGGAGTAAAATTTGACAAGCGTGTGACTCTTACGAAAGCTGCTCTTGCGATCCTGCTGCGTTAAAAATGATATAAACGTGCTTTCACTGCGGGAGAGCACGCTCCAGGTGAGTATTCCCGCGAGCGACGCGCGGGCCCATGTGCAACGCCACTTGATTTATAACATTAAACTAATCCAAAATAAAAAGCAGCACACCCTACCTGGCTCGTGACATTCGGAAGCACTCGAAGAATTCCCGGCCGTCGGGGTCTTCGAACATCTGTCTCACGATGGTGGCATACTCGCAGAGCATTTTTCGAGGCTTCAGGAGATCGCGGTCGGCCTTTCGCTTCTTTTTTCTTCACGCTCCGTAGGTACTGCTTACACGCAGCCGTGAAAGTAGTCAGCCGACGCCAGTTGACAGTTCTTGCATTTGTGACGCACCTCACTACACAAAGGTTCATAAGTGAGGCACTTCGAGCTTCGTAGCCGGGATCCTGCCGAGACGATGCCATCACGAAACAAAGCGAGTGCCGATCTAGACGGAGCGCGCCGCGCTAGCCGCGCGCCCGGACTGCCCGGGCGACGACCCGGCTTGACGACGGCCACTGATTGGTTGCCTGGGGAGCCGCCGTGACGTCACTCCTGTATTCGGAGACCCGTGCCACGCGCCGTCCAAATCAAACCGTGACGTCAGCTCCCGTAAACGGGAGCCGGAAGTGATTACGTCAGTACGGGTTCCGGCTCCCGTGTTCCCTATTCCGAGTCTGTTTGAACCGCCCTTAATGCGCGAAACCGAGGAACGGTGATTAAATGTACACAACTGAAATCGCAGATTCAACGTTTAAGCGTAACTTAGCCAAGACCGAACGTTCCGACCAACTCAAGCAAATCAGAGTGGCGGAGTTAAGCACGCGATATCTCCTTCTGGAAGGAGTATGCTCCAGTGATACGTTGTCACGTGTCTAGCACCATCGTTGTGATTGGCTCGCTAGGTCCGTACCTTCTGCCGTCTGCTACGGTATGGTAAGACGAAATAGAGGACATATTTGGCATCGCTCTACTATTGCCGATTCCGAGCGTAATATCCGGTGGCATGATATCAACGCATTTCGATGAACGCATTGATTTCATTCTGTCACGGCATGACGAAAATGTTGACTTTCACCCACTATGACGGTTAATCACCGTTAACAGACGAGTGCAGGTTTACGTCAGCTCGAATTAAAAAAAGGCTGGTTCACGCACTTGCGGCTTCCTATACAGAGGCTTTAAAGCATCGTGGGAGCTCTTACGGCAAAAGAAAACAGAGCCATATATATATATATATATATATATATATATATAAATGTATATATACGTATCGGATAGCCTTGGAACACTTGTCATTTTTGTGTATTTAAATATTTCTTTGAAACATCGTTCTTTCTTTTTTTGGCTTTAGAAATCATTTGACACTGTTATAAACGATCATTTCTCATAATGCATATATTTGTTCTGGTAAATACTAGAAAATCCTTTGCTCTAGTAAAATGCAGTTTCTGGGTCACCTCATAGATTACGCCAGCGTGCCACTGAGTTCTCTCGTCTCAAGAGATCACAAGAACTCGGTCGTACGCAAAAGTAAATGTGTAAACAAGCCTTTAATTGACTCATGTAAAGCTTCTTTTTATTAACATAACAACTTTAAAAAAAGGCTATGCCAACAAAACATTATTTGTTTGTATGCGGCAATGGAAAGAAGGGCAATCACGGACCCTCTACCTTATTCGTGATGTCGCAAGTATGACGCATTCGTGTATAAAGACATGAACGTAGGCTTACTAGAAATAAAGCGCAAGGATCAGGGAATTTCAGCAGACCTTTCGGCAGGAGCGACACCGCTCCAAGTTCGATCTTCGAAGCATACTCCCGAATCGCCGGGCACAAGCTCCCAAAACTAGTATCGATTTATCGAATAGGCTATCCACTATAGGCCTCCGGTGCGTTCTCGCCATCCAATAAGTGCGATAAAGACATAGACGTCTGCGTGTCCCGTTCTAGTGTGCACTGGTTCGGAGAGTCTTGCTTTCCATGGAAACTGAGATAGCTTATCTCAAGTATCGTTCACCCCTCCTCCGTGTTAATCTATGAGGGATAAGCGTCGTGCTACATGGCTCGTTCGCTTTGATCGACGCCCTACGTTAAGGCTGCGACGACGCAATATATTCCGAAAAAGGTGAGCTGTTGAGTTCGTCCTTATCGCGCGGCACAATTCTCTGGTAACGTATAGGTAACCTGCAATGCTGTCTGGTTTGGTACTATCTAGCGACTGAAGCAAGAAGCATGGTGTATGCGTGGGAGTCCCGGCTGCATTGTTCAAACCTGAAAAATCACTCTGATGGCGCCACTTAGCCTACTGTCTCAACTGAGAAAGATTGGGTAGGCCATGAAGCCGTGATCGCATAACATGACTGTACGGCGGAGGCTACGGCCCTGGCGGGTCAATCGGAACGTTACTTGGAATCACCAGAGTGCGCTTTTAGTGCGAACATGTATAAGGCTTTTCGCTGCGTTATACTGTAATATGTGTGTATTGCACTGGTATACACAGCACAAATGCAAGCCGCGTGCACGCAATTGGGGCACATCTTTCACCCTTTGCCAAGTTACAAAGAGACAGGGTATAAAACCGTGGGATCTCACCCTGCTGTCGCCGCCGGGCCTTTCCCGGCTGGCTCTAGACGCATTAAACACGCGCCACCGGACTACAGCCACCGTTGCTGATCTTCTCTTGCCGTACCAAAATACCCAGGCACTGAAATGGGCGTTGGCCATCAGCCACGAAGGGCATTGTTGGGGAGAACACAATATAATCTAAAATGGCAATAACCTGGCCTGCTAAGGTCATTATGAAGTGAAGTAAACGGAAGAAGAGGAAGCAAAACGGAAGGTCGTTCAAGGTGGCGTCCATGCACACCTGCTTGAAAGCGCCTTTTGGTCGTAGGTTCCCGCATGAACACATGTTTTCCCATTCTCGGAGTGTATTTTCGATGCTGTGTATTTATTCGGCGCACGTGGTTCCATATAGTCATCGACTGAGCCTCACTCGTCAAGCAGATAGAGGTTTAGGCGAAAGAAACGTAATTTAGTATTGTTTATGTGTTACCACGGATTATATGATAGTGCATAAAATGAAAGTGGCCAGGAAAAAAGTGAAATTAGTAAGAATCTTGCGATTGTTCTTCCATTCCCTACCCCCGTGTAGAAAAAGGTGCAAAGGACATTTTTTTTTTTACGGGTGGATGGTATAACATAGCAGACTACGTGATGGTTAGCTGTTAAAATGTAAAAGGGTGAAGATTAGCGTTAAAGCAAAATAAAATATACGATTTGGGTTTTTTAGTATCTGAATTTAAAATGTATGCTTGGCTCTGTTATGCTTTACTATAAACAACTTTGGGTTAACGATTTGACGCTAAAATAGTTATTGCATCGCCACTCCTCATTGGTGTAGAATTAGACCTAAACTCTCAAGGCCCCTAAAACCTACACCACAGAGCTAACTCAGCTATATCCGTCAGCGCTGGAAGTTCAGCTGGCCTTCTGATGCTGTGCTGGCTTCACATTACATCAGTAATACAGCGGTGATACAGCTCTGCATCAGTGTTAAGTTACGTTCAAATCAACTCTGCATCAGCGCTGTTCCTATTCTTGATTGAGCGCTGCGGTGTATGTGTGAACTGGCCATTACAGTACAATCATCGTTTGCAATAATTATTTGTCTTTCATAATATCCGCAAAAATTATACGTAGTTTAAAAAAGATGTATAGCAATTCATTCTCATATGAGAAACATAAGGCATGTGATGCTCTATTGGTCTATAGGGTTTTATCACCGAAATTCTTTCGATGAAGTCGCCTTTAAAACCCGGAAGAGCGTTAAGAGTGTCCTTGCTTCAGAAAGTCCATTCATGGGAACCGGCAACAGGGTTCTTCTCAAGAGTGAAAGAAAATAGACTTTTCCGAAAATCTTGTAATATAACAAATATAAAATCAGTAATCTTGCTAATAGGATTTTGTTGTCGTTTTTATAGGTAATTTTGCAACTTGTTGCGAGCTGTCTTCTTTACTATCACAACATGGTCTCTATTTGCCTTAAAGAACAAATTAAAAAAGGCCTCCTTTTGAGGGCCCGCCCGCCCACAAAACCAACGAGGCATCATTTAATGTTACAATGCTGAAAAGAACATAGCCAGTCAAGCATCTATATACCATTAAGCAAAACACAAAAATGAAAGATACGGTATACATATTAGGCTTACACTCACCGCGTGAAAGAAATACGGGTGTAATTACGATACTAATATTTTGTCTGCTTTTGGATTTTGAGATTATGTGTTAAAGGGCCCCTGAAAAGAAAGAAAAATTATATTTTTAAAGCGTCTGGTTGGGACACGCCCGTCAAGAAATAAATTTTCCGCGAAAAATCAATATATAGAGCAAAATCGACGGCTGCGGCCTGGGACCAACATAAACGTATATAAGCGGTGCCGCCAGTTTTGTCACAAAGACAATCCTACGCAAGGTTTCTTGGTCGGCCATCTTGTCTACTTTTGGCCTCAGCAAAACAACTCAACAGAAGCCGCCGGAAAGCAGTTCAAAGTCTGGAAGCAGCCGGGATTACTGCCTTGCGCGTAAGTTAGTCGGAAATGATAAGCACCGCATATTCACCGTATCGTGGGTCGTTGAACAAACGCTCGTAATTCGTGAAGCAAATCACATGGTTCTCGTATTTCGCACCTAGATGGAGAGTTAGGTATGTGTTTTCGCGCCACGCCTTTTTACCCACGGTAAGAGTGGCTTTCTATAACGGAAAGTTTTTCGTCCAGTCGACTAGAAGTGCTGTTTTGTCTGCGTTAGAACACCTCGAAAACGACACATGGATAACGCCTGAAGGCAAGTGATATATGTGAGCTTCATATTTGGAAACAGCTTATTGCAAGCCGGTCTAATCGTGGCACGCAGCACTAACGGCTAAATGGCGCTCGATCGCTACTTATATAAATTGCGACACCTACGCTAAAGTTCAAGTGGGCCCCACAATCGCAGTAGTCACGTAGCAGGGCACATAAAGAACACGATATAACCAGTATAGTTAATATAATATAGAGGGATAATAGCCATACATTTGGGCCGCTTCAAAAAGGCAAGTCATACGCGCGGATATTGGCGCTGACAGTTGATGGTCCAGATGGGCCCATATAGGTGGCGACGCCTTAAAATTAACAAACAAAACAACAAAACAGTGTTTCTGAAGTCTGTATCACGTTCTTTACTATACTTCGTTTCAGCTTCGGTCCGAGCGCGGCCGATGTTATGAGCCGAAGGGCCAATCAAACACCGCAAAAAGCGCACCGTCATGGCGTGCTCTCTGCGCTTAATAAGACTAGCCGGCGGAGGAGCACGCACAGAGAGACGGCGAATACCGGCTGGTCCTATCAACTGCAGAGAGCAGACCATGAAGTTGTGCCTCTTTCGCTGTTTGATTGGCCCTTCGGCTCATAAGATCGGCCGCGCTCGGACCGAAGCTGAAACGAAGTATAGCTTACTTCACGGAAAAAGACGGAAGGCGTACATTGCGTATAACTAAATAAAGTTGACACACGCTCGAGCAACTTCATGTCGCCACGGGAGAACAAACACACCCAGCAGCTCGTCTCCTATCTTTATCAGCATTTCTGTCACTCTCTTTTTCGTTCTTTCTCCCTATATCGCCCGTGTCAGCGCTCAGGATTTGCAGCGTTCTGCTCCTATCTTTACACACCTGCTATAACCTTGGCGCCCGGAGATTATGGCCTTTGAAAAGTGTTTCATGCTAATAGTGTAATCTTATAAATGAACGGTGGAGTGTTAATCTAAAATTATGTTGAGCGCCAGGGAGTTCGTTCGTTCGGCTGTATAATAACGAACAAAAGAAATAATGAAATTAGCGAGCGCTTTCTACTATTTACTTTCTTCAGGCTAGACCCAGCAGTATGCGGTGGCACTCGAACCTGTTTGTTATAGGTAGTCTACATCAAGCAAGAAAGGGTCCCTCGGAGTGGGGTACCAAGACGGAGGGGAATTGGGGTCAATGTGCTTGCTATTGACATCTTCATAACGCTCAAAGGGGAGAAAAACTTGATAACAAACTCAAACTGAATGTGTGCGCCTAATCGCAGCGACTTGCCATGCCTCTCAAATATATGGAATCGTCCAAAGCGCGAGCAGCCCCCCCCCCCCCCCCCCCCAGCCTCCGACACAGCACACACTCTATTTGGGGCTTTTATTTTTGCGCAGACTGTACATGGTGTACATGATACTGAGATTGAGACTTCTCTTCTTTTTTAGTGGGGTAGCACGACAAGCGGTTAAGGATTAACAATTTGCACCTTATCAGACACGCTACATATAAACAGACATAACAATCCCGATATAAAAAAAACAGATGATTAACAACTCTGTGTGTGCAAACGAAAACCCGAGTAGAGAAAGCCTAAATCACACAAAACTTTACAAGGTATGAGATCTGCAAACGTTCCTTGTGGCTGGAACAGTTATGTGATCATTGGCGCCCGATGATAAAAGGAACAGTAACACCGAAAAAAAATATTCTTTTTACTTTGCTTGTTTATTTAGGCAGTTGAACGGTTCTCATAATCCGCAAAAAAGACAAACATCAAAGAGGAACTGCTCGCTTGCGAAATAACCATGTGCATGCAAACATATCTGTTCTTTTAAGATCCAGTTTCAGCTACTGGTAAAACAAATACCATGATTCGGAATAAACGGTGTAGCCCAAGAATGACCGCCTCTCCAAATAGCTGCTTTGGCTATGCGTGCAAACACTGTTGCCTTGTGGCGCCTGGTCCTTACCCCCATGATGACCAAAACTCAGTCAATATCCACCGTGATGAAGAGAAAATGCTTAGCAAGTGAAACGGAGTAAGATTAATTTGTATCCGACATTCGCGCTTCTTAGATTTTTAGCGTAATCCGCACGATCACTGAGAGAAAAAAAAATAACAGTGGCATAGGCGGTGTACCAGAACGTCGGTATTGGGTACCACTTGTCCACCTCAGAAAGCCTAAACAAAGCAACCATTCTGCGCATTTTCAACGTATCAACTACAAGGGTAGTTCAAAGTTGACCGGCGCCTATGTCCATAAAATGTCTATGAACTTGTCGAACATGAC